TAGGGGGAGACACTTCTTTTTCCATGAAAACAAGCTTGAACACTAACATGAACATTTTGCATGGATCCAATCTACTTAATATATGATCATCAATTACACAAACACTCCAACCACTTTCTGAACCAGCAAGGCTTCAGATGTCATCAGTGACATCACTCACCCTAATGAAGCCTCATGACGAAGAATCTTCATAAAAGACTTTCTGGTGACATGTTTGTTGTTTCTTAAGGAAGTACAGGAGAACTTCTGTCGTTTAAAAGATTTAATTTGCTTCAGCACTTGAAATTACAAGTTTACAGCGCTGGACCTCAGAGTGAAATCAGCCGTCTGTCTCACACAGAGGATGACCATCAGAGCGGGCTGTACAATTTTATAAAACAAGAACAAACAAGTATTGTTATGACTGTCTTCTTGGTAAATGGTAAATGGTCTGTAGTTGTATAGCGCTTTACTTGGTCCTAAGGACCCCAGAGCGCTTTACACTATACACAATCATCCACCCATTCACACACACATTCACACACTTCTTCTGGGAAGCAAAGTGGCGGTCCTGCCGTCTCCCTGCGAATCCTCTCTCTCTGTTCACATCTGGCCTTGTCTCGTATCTGCTCTTCTCCTGGAATATAACAGAAAACTCCTCCCTGCCTAACCTTGATTAATATTATCCTACTGATTCTATTTATTATCTAAGTTCAGGATATTCTGAACCCTGATCCCTTGGCCCAGAAATATCATCCTGACTTTTAAACGGTATAATGTGTAAGCATGTTGCAAAACCCTCTGCACAATCACGATAATCCAATTCCCTCTTTAATGAGCACATAGCAATGTGTATAAAAACAGCTTTATTTAATCATTTTATTCCTAATACTGGATTTCTCGGCACATACCCCGAAGCCTCAGCACAGTCCGTTCCATCACTGACAAGAGTTATTGGCCAAATTTTGTGAATTTTACATTTTGATTTGTATTGTTTTCCACTTCACAACAAAACATGCTAATTGTCCTGCAGTGTTCAGGATTTTATGTGCAACTGTTTGCAAAAACATCTGGTATTATTAAAACATAAACGTAGCAGTAATTTATAACAAGACTTCAATATAATTAAACAGCACAAGTTAAAGAACA